GGGAGCTGTGCGGGAGGAAGCTCGTTACCTGGGGCCATTCATTACCATGCGGGACTCGGCTAGGAACGAAGTTGTTCGTAGATGCGCTGCTGCACGTACTGGTTTTCACTCTCTTAGTGAAATGTGGAAGCTAACGGGACTAGCGAGGGGGTGGAGGAGATGCTTATTCATCGGGTTTGTTCAAAACGCTTTGCTATCTGATTTGGAGAATTTTCCGCTGTCTAAATTCGACTATGACATCCTGGACTCGTGTTTAAGCCGATTGGGGAGAGCAGCAAGTGGTGGGAAGGCGGCGAACTATGAGGGGGAGCATATCACGAGCCTCACTAATAAAGAAATCCTATGGTTCTGGAAAATACTGCCCTGTAACCAGGAGATGGGGATTAGGCGCCTAAAGCTTTATCAGACATGGGGTCGACGTCCTGAGCACCATACCCAGGTACTAGTTGCTCTTTTCGGGGAGTTTCAGTTCGACACTAGGCCTCAGCTTTGCGCAGGACGTCCATCCCAATACGCCTCGCCGCGGCTGCAGCAAATGGCCGCGGACTTGGGCCAAGCAGCAGAGTTATTGCCAGATTTCATGATCGAGCCGATTGCTTTGAATCTAGCCCTCTTCGCTGACAAGGAAGCGATGGAGGATTTCTGTATGATTGATTTCACGGAGCTGAGGAGCCGAGAGTTCGGCAGGCGGATCCCGCCACCAGGATTCCAAGAGCTGGCTTCGTCACCAGTTGTCGCCCCGCCACATGAGCGGGACCCATCGGAAGCCTTCATATGCAGGCACAGTAAGAATGGGGTTGAATGCGGAGCCAGTTTCCTTACGAGGCCAGCGTATTTATCACGCATAAAGTCGGCGCGTCAGGTTCGCAACCTCTACTTCGTTATCACTCCGACGAATACTTGTATCAGTTGTCGTCAAACATTCGCTTCGCAGAGAACAGCAGCACGCACTTATCGCGCGCACTTAAACGTGGGCACTGCCAAAGAGAAGCAGCACGCGCCCTCCTTCCTCTCAAAATGCCCAGATCGCTACAATGTTTATGCTGTGAATGCGAAGGCGGCACCCTCGATGATCTCTGCAGCCATCTCGTGTCGAACCACTTGCCAGGCAGTATTGGACCGACCCCAGAGAGTCAACCAGCCAGCAGATATGCCAGAGGGGATGGACCAGGAACCGAAGCTCGTCATGCCGTCGTGGTGCAGCCAGTCCATCACCGCTGGAGGCGGGCGCAAACCAGACGACCAGGAGGAAAAGGGAGAGGGCGCGGCCAGGGACAAGAAGAAGCACAAAGGCGGCAAGGACGACATCATGCTGCCCGTGGTGAAGCTGGTGCTGACCAACACGAAGGACATCGCCGACCTCGGCGCCCTGCTGTACACGAAGTACGAGCTACCAGTGGCGGTGGGAGTGGTGGCGGTCAGCCAGCAAGCAGGCAAGAAGTACAACGACGGCTCGGCGGCCCTAAAGGCAAAGGAAAAAGCAGGCGAGAAGCAGGATCACAAGGCGAGGGGCGCGGCGCACGTTCAGATATTCATGGCAGCATTCGGCTACGGAGCTACGAGGACGGCGTCGGCAGGGTCAACGCAAGTGGAAGAAGCCAAGCTGAGCGAGGAGATGCTGCAGTTCTTCAACGATGTGCTGAGCAAGTTCGACGGTCCGAGCGCTGTCGGTCAGCTGATCACACACTTCAGGGTGAAAGTACACAAGAAGGAAGAGGGCTCGACGCCGATGTGCACACTGATGCGGTACGCGGACCCGCGCCACAATTACTACACGGAGGTGCAGAAGTGGCTCATCAAGCTCGTGGAGTTCGAGGGCGGCAAGAGGTTGGTCGGCGCCCCGCCGCGCGGCCCGCTCGAGCGGATCCTCAGCAAGCACGTGGACGAGCACACGAAGAGGTAGAGGGACTCCCGAGAGACCTACAGACGAGTTCGCGCCTGGCTGAGCTGAGGTCAAGAGGTTTTGTTATCCCCCCTGCTTCCTCCTCCCTTCCGTCCTCGTCTTCGGCTCCTCCTCTCACTCAAAGTTCGAATACACAGCAGGCAGTTGTTGATCCCCCGAATTTTTTGGACGGCCCTCCGACAGTAAATATCCCTAGGAGGCCGCGTGGAGGGGGGAAAGGAAAGCATGGTCGCTCGAGAGGTAAAGGTCCCAGCAAAGGCAAGGGTCCGCGTACCTGAGGCCAGCCGAGCCTCCGGGGCGCTGCGTGCATCGGGCTTGTGCTGGCGGGGTCCGTGCGGCATCTGGCCGAGAGTGGATCGTATCTTTTAGCAGTTTACGTCGGCTTCGTAGGTTAAGCCTCCTCAGGGAGCAAGCCCGTGGGCAGTTAAGAGTGCTACGCTTTTTTCGTTTCGATTTCGCGTTGCCAGTGCTCTCCTTCGGATCTGGTCCTCATGAGCTAGAAAGAAAGAAAAGAGGATCCAGATAGTACAGGGCGCGTGGCTTCCCTCCGCACATGTCGGCACACCGCTCACGCTGCTCGTGGTCACACAGGGGGCC